CCCCCCACAGGTTTATTACTCAGGTAAACAAATGAATCGTATCCAGAAAGCAGCTTAATTCCCTTTTGCAACTGAGAAACCTCAATTTTTGTTGTATTCATATAATCTCTGTGGAGAAGAAGCATCTGAGGTGTAGCAGCTCCAGATTTCTACCCCACAGTTTTTTCCAGTATGTACCATAAAAATAGGATCTCTCACACCCCCATTCTTCAGTATGTATGACCCTTTTGTCAATGACATGCACAGATGTCATTATAACTATACCTTTATGTAGAAAATTCATTGCCATATGCTTGTTTAGAAGAAGGGCATCATGGACTCAACTTAAATAATGCTAACTGGAAGGGTAAGCATGCAAGGTTACTGCATAGACAACTAACTACTTGTAGAAGGATATCTGCGCTTATTTAGGGTACTGTCACTGCTGAGAAAGAAAAGGATCAAGGTAAAACACTGATGGATCTCACAAAAGACCACTCAAGCTGTTTATTAGCACCTTCACTGTGAAGAACTGTCTACTGAGTATTGCATGCTATATAAAATCTGTAGTAGTGTAGATTATTACAGTTCTGTATTTTTAAAAAATCCTATTTTACCACAGTACCAACGCTCATAAAGCCGCAGAACGTAACTACTTGTGCATATTGACTGTTTGGCCATGGATACCTTAAAATTACTTTTTCAAGATGTCACTTATGTTGCACCACACTTTATATCTTTAAGAGCTTTTAGCTTGTTTTCAAGCCCGGAGAAGTTGTGGATGCCCCATCCCTGGAGGGGTTCAAGGCCAGGCTGGATGAGGCTTTGAGCAACCTGGGCTAGTGGGAGGTGTCCCTGCCCATGAGTTGGAACTCAGTGATCTGTAAGGTTGCTTCCAAACCAAACCATTCTATGACTCTATGATTCTATGATTCTATGCTTACTGATCTATTCCTGTGAACTATTAATGTTTTAAAAATGCCACTGGACTAGAAGCTGAAGCCAGCTGTTACATACTGACCTACTAGGAGCATTGTTTTTTCCCTGATTCTATCTGCTTTTGGTCTTGTTACACTGAACTTTTTTTAAAAAGTAGCATGTACAGTCACTTCTTTATAGAGGGAGAGGAGCATGTCTCTCGAACTTAGCTTTAATTATCTGCTGAAGTTTTGCCATTTTTCAAGTCCTGTAGTTACATTTCATTAAGTGAAATCATATTTGACTGATCTATGACATGATGCAATTTCTTGCTCTCATTTTTTCATTATGCATAAGGGAAATTATAAACAGCATAGTTTTTGCACATAAATAATAAGAACAGATCATATAGGAAAGGATAATAAATTACCGTTTGGTAATAAGAAACAAGGTCTGTACTGCTGTACACATCACCTTCTCAGTTACGTGTTGACCTCCTCCCAAAAGAAGCCACAAACACTGACCGCTTTTGCAGTCCTGGTAAAATTAAAATAGATAACTGCAATTATTTCATAGGGTTTTTTCTTTTTCCTTTCTACTTTTGGGGCTATATTATTCTGCAGTTGTAGCATTAGGTCCTGTTCTAATGTGTCATACCACAAAATTATGAGATAGTCTGACACATTCCAAGGTAGCAAGCACAGTCAGAATAAAAACTTATTCTGTGGCTTCTTAGTGTAAATAATAGAGAATCTGAAGTTGTTTGCTGTGGTACAGTAATCAAACTTCTGTTGTAATAGCTATAAGTCTTTCTGTACTTCAATACAACAATCACATGTATTTTTTAGAACATATGGTCACAATAAAAAGCTTTCCTGTTGTACTGTCTGAGGCAACAGCAGCATTTTTTTCCTGTCTTTCATCCAAAAGTGATGATTTTTCCTCTTTATTACCCTTGCTCTGTTTTGTTCAACTATGCTACTATTAGCAGCATTTTTAAAGTAATTTTTACATTTTATATAATTTTTGCAACAAGTACAATTTTTATATTTGAAATTCTAGAGGACCCAAGCAAAAGTAGTCATTCATTATGAAAGGTGTTGAACGAAAAAAAAAAAAAAATAACAAGCACTCTGTCTCAAAAACCAAATGAATAAAATGGCTTGTATGTTATTATTATCACATCCAGTGCAAATAAGGGGAAATTAGCAACCCATTCGTATGTAAGAATCTTAATGACAGTGAAAATATTGTCTGGGTTTTAAATGAATTGATTAAATTCTGACATTTGTTTCTTTCAGTCTGTTTAAATTTTTCACAGCTGTAATTTTAACAGGAACCATATAACTTTTTCCCCAGAAGTAATATTTGTTCAGTAAGAGTGAATGAATGCATATCAAATCCTGTTGGCCCTGACAATAACCGTTAATGTGAGGTTCTGATTAATAGCTTCAGATGTACCTGCCATTCAGAATATAAAGAGCCATGTAGTGAAACTGCCATGAATCACTGTGTGGCTGGACTATGTCAGAACGGATCACAATGCAGCGATCTCCCTAGAGAGTTTAAGTGTCGCAGTCTGACCAGTGAAAATCACTTTTGTCATGAAGCATTTGGGTTTGTCAGAAAGAAATGTCTGAAGAATGTAATGTGGCATCTCCGAAAAAAAAAAAATATTTTAAATACTCTGCTGCTAAATTTCTGTTTTCTAAATTAATGAAGTATCTTTTGAGTGTCTGTAGCAGAAAAATAAATCAACACTTGCTCATTTCTTTTTATAGGAAATAGTATATTCTTAAGTACTGCTGCTGAATCTGTTTTGATGAGAAACTTACACAAAAATAGACCTTTAATATTAAAATTGGGCCCTGAAACCACCACCCTTTGTTCTTCAACTTAGTATAGTAATTTCAGATATATTTGTCTATGCTGCAATATCTTGATAATTAATTCAAAATACAGAAATAAAAGCACACACAGTTTAAGATCTTTATTCCCAATCTAGAGTTATTATTAATATTTATTTTTAGTTTGTCAAACAAAAAAATCATGTTGGGTTTTCTATATTCAGTATCTCCACTTGGATGACAGTCACATAACCACATATAACATATATCTGGGTATAATTTACCGTCATTGATTAATGTTTCCATTTTACTTCTTTATCATAATTTAAAAAATTGTTTTATGTAGTACTTCAGTAAGCAGATGTTATCAGCTATTTACAAAGGCAAAAATGAGAGAGATGCTTAAATTTTTAATATCAATCAACAATGAGGCAATCTTCAGCTGTGTGAGAACCTTGCACAGCTGGTTTTTGGGATGGAATAGAAACATAGCTTGAAGACACCCTTCTGCATCTACTGATTTAGAAACCAAAGTGACTGCATGTGTAGGGCACTTTTAATATGCATTTTCTTATATTTATGCCTCAAAGGCTTGTTATACAAGTCAGGATTTCTAAAGCACAATATGTTTCAGCAATTTATCCTGATAGTCAGAAGTTGCTGTCTTATCTCATCTAACCAGCTGTTCGAAAATGAAAAAATCTTCCAGATCAGTAGCTCCTCGGTTGTGCCATAAGGACATGGTTTACATTTCTTTTGATTTGAAGACTACGTTAAACTAGGCCCAAGTAGGACTGAGCTTTTAAAATTTTGTAATAAGTTATTACTCTGGATCTGCACTTAATAAACGCTATAAAAAGAGGTTTATGTTTTAGTTTTAAAGCTATTGCTGTACACTGTGGGAGCACAGGTGTATTTGAACATCTTTGACCAAAGATTCTTCCTTTTTCTCCTTATTGTGTAAATGTTGGTGAACTAAAGGTCAGATATGGGGCAACTTGATGGCACACTAGAATGTGTTTTGACAATACCTGTGCTACTGAAGCAGGACATTCCTTTATGAATCTTTTTTAAAATGAAATGTGAAGTTCAGATCTCCAGACAAACTTCGTATCCAAGTTTGTAAGACATTGGAATTAATTATATTTAGCTCACTGAACCAAATCTCTTTAAGTCTTTAGTGGCTTTTCATGCTGTAATTGTTAAATCGTAATAAATTGGTCCTGTCTCTTTTGATCTTTGCTGGAACATTATTTTTGCAAGAATCTGAAATTCTTTAGAAACTTTTCAACTGCTTGGTTAATACGAGAACAGAAAACTATGCTTATACTTTAACTCACTGATTTTTCATGACAAAAGTTACAACAAAAATGTCTAAAGTTTGAAACCTGTAATTTATATTCAGGACTTGGATCCGAGCTACACAAACAATGACTTTTTTTAAATTGCTTTATGTCAATTAAATTAAAAAAAAATTATTGGGTTTGAAAATGGCTATTTTTTCAGTGAAACAATATTTACTTGCAACTGCTTATTGAGTATGTTCTAAAATAAAGGTGCTGTCATCAATGAACTATGTGATTTTCTTGATGGATTATGCCTTCAGAAACTGTTATACCACGGCCAATATACCCTAAGTATAAAATGTAAATTCCTATTTCATCTTTTAACTAATTTCTTAAATTTTATGCATACGTAGCCCTCAACAGGAAACAGGGAGGCTCAGTGATTCACAACATTAAGCTTCTTATAACTGTAAGTTAACTGGTTAAAAAAAATCCATACCAATAACCTGCCAGACCCATCAGAACTTGTAATATCTGCTTTATAAAATAATATATTGGGACAATTTTCTTTTTTGGATTGGTGGAAATGAGGTGTTTTCTTAGTATGGTATACAGAACACCACATTAAAAATGAGAAGGCTTTTATCAACAGTGTGCTTACTGATATTTCAATAAAATTAGGAATATCTGCATAAAACCACTTGAAGAAATTTACATTCTATGAAGTTCTCTTGAAGAGTTGTTGTTGTATGTTGAATGGTTTGTATTATTAATGTAAGTATGGCTTTATCATACAGTTCTTTTGTTCTTTTCAGAATTGATTTGTATATGACACTGAAACTTTCAAAGAAAATAGAATATTTTACTCTATCCTAAATAAAATTTTGAAATCTAAGAACAAAGAAGTAGTTAGCAAAACGGGTCTCTCACTTGTATGTTTTCTCATGTCTTCTGTTCTATTTTTCATTAGGTTTTACTGGTCAGTTTTGTGAAGTAGATGTTGCTGCCTGCCTGTCACAACCGTGTGGAGCCTCCAGCATCTGTAAAGACATATTGGGTGGCTATCTTTGTTTCTGTGCACCTGGTTTTATAGGTGGGTTCAAACGAGTGTTGTTCAATATCCATTTAAGTCAGCCCTAAACCACAGAAGAGAAGGTTATTCAAACGTAGCAGTAGATATAAGTTAGCAGTGTGCCTCTGATTCGGGCAGAATCAACTTTTGTTTCCTGCCACACAAAAGTACTTGGCTGGGTAAGAGTATTCAGCTGTAAAAAATACTGACTACAAGGTATTATTTCCGCTCCAATAACTCTTACTTTATACTGTTTTAGACAGGATGTCTGTCTTACAGTGATGTGATAGCACCTCCCAACCATCTGCAAGTTGGCCATGATTTGCCTGCTTTGTGCTTCCTGTAACAATAACAACAAGGCTATACTAATAAGGGCCTCAACTGCCAAATATACATCCAAGATACTGGGCAGGTTTAACTACACCCTGCAGGTCATTGTCATTCATACAGAGTCTGACTAGATTAAAATTAGTCTGAGTATGTCAGCATACTGTCATGGTAATTCCAGATTCCATTGTAAAAACAAAAAACAACAACAAAACAAAAACAAACAAACAAAACCAAAAGAAAAACACCTTTCTAGATACAGATTCAAATATTGTTGAACACCTGTGTGATGAAATAATCAAGGGCAGTAGGAATTCCCTGAGTAGCACGCAGGTCAGCTGTGCAGCCCAGATCCATGCTGTCTAACTGCAGGGACTTTGATGGGGCTCCTGAAGCGGGAACAGAATGACTCTAGAGTCTCTCTCAATAGTCAGGCACAGGCAATACACAGGCAAACAGAGGAATTCAGATCTTGAGTAGACTTCATACCTCTTAAATTGTTGGTCTACGTCCTAATGTAGGAATTCACTTAAATTAAATAATCTGTAATTTAATAGCTGTATTGTTTGTGTCTATAATATAATGAAATGCTATATCTTGTTTCTATGTTTGTTATTACTATTGTCAAAATATGAAATAAATTTTTTGGATGTTGTTTGTGATCATTCTTGGCAAGGTTTTATTTTATTGAAATAATTGTTTAAATTCTTGTACTCATATATATATATAGTAGTAGGTTAGTATTTTTAGTTTATACTTTTTCTGTGGACAAATAAAGCCCTCAAAACCCCTCTGAAACAATAAAGAATTTTTTACTTACCATGCAGGGATAAGTAATAATAGATTTGAGGCCATTATCATCTGTTTGGATAATTCATATACAAAATGCAAATAAATACTTATATAAAAATATTAGATACATCATTCTCAGTTAGAAATTAGCATATATAATTTTTTCCTCCACATATTTAAAGATATATGGCAATATCTAACTTTTTGATTATTAGTTTCCAAAAAAAATTATTAAAATATTTGACCATAACGGAAACCTTTCCTAATCTTTCCCGTAGAGAGCTACATAGGAAATCCAGAAATTAATAAATGAAGGAAAAATAATACTACAGAAAAAGACTGTGGTATTTTAATATTTGGTCTTAGAAACCATACTTACACTTTTGTGATGTTTCAGGAAAACTCAAGACTTTACTGCCCTGAAAATATGAAAAGATGCAATTTTTTTAATTACATCTATAAATGAATCTATAAAGTTCCCAGCAGATCTTTGTTGAACAATATGTATTATATAAACATTTAACTTTTGCCTTTAATCAACAAGAAACAAATTCACCAAAGACATTTTACAGCTCATTGGTAAATGCTCCCTGTTCCTAACCTCAGTTATTTCATTTTGGTGTTGCTGCTTGTGACTGACCCGTGGCATGTTCCTAATGAAGTGAATCATTCTCTTGTTTCCAGGTAATAACTGTCAGACTGAGGTGGATGAGTGTCTTAGTGACCCTTGTCACAATGGAGCTACTTGTGTTGATCATCTGAATGCCTTCAGTTGCATCTGTCAGGATGGGTTTCAAGGTATTCAAAAATCCATAGAACTATAACTTTGTAAATCTACTTTGAGACTTACACCAATTTTTTTAACATATGGGATGAGATGCATGAGATGCTTATATACTTATTTTAGTGTCATCTCAAGTTATAAACATGTAAATCCAGTATAAGTGCATTTTGACTGAAGTTATCTGCTTTGTTTTCTTGATAGCATGTAGCTAGGTGTTTTCTGCTGGCTCGTGGCTTAGCTGTTGTTGAAAACAAATCAGTGGTGTTCAGTGAAATTTTGCAGATGGCATATACTGTTTTCTGTAAGCTTTTTAAACTGTTGGCAGATTTAACATAATAGAATCAGAGAAAAAAACCTGTGTGGGAAAGGTTTTCTTCTTGGCATATTTGTACAATTTATATGAAAAATACAATCACTTTGATAAGTGGATGCATTAATATCTGTAGGTATTCTTTGCTTTCAGCTTAGATTAGGAATTTAAAGTGCATCCATTACCTTTTTATTGCATCATTTTTTAAACATCATGGATTTTTAATCATTGAACTACAGAGCAATCTATAATTCAAATGTCACAGGACAAAATACTACATTTCTACTGCTAGTTATATTCAGAACAACTATCACTTGCATTTTTATTTATTAAAATTCTTTGAACTTCCCAAACCTCACAACTGATGTCATTGTTAATTTATTCTTCAAGTGATAAAAAATTAAGTTCATTTGGAAATATTAACAATAGAGTATTTTCATATTTTAAGTAGCTATGTGGTTATGTTAGCTATAGTCTAGACTGGAGTAAATGGTGTTCTTGTCTATATAAGCTTTCTTCTTCCATTTTCTGGGAGTACATCTGTTGCCTTATCATGAACACAATGAATATTTCCTCATGTTATTGCAATGCAGTCTTTGGTTTCCGTTCTTTTATATTCATATAATAAGAAAATTGTCTTAGGAAACTATTCAATGACGGTACTTTTAATCTTTTGGGAAAATTAGTGAATAGCTTAAACATTAAAAATATCAACATGCTGTCATAGGTGCCCAAATTTGAACATAAAAAAGGTGTCAAATACATTCCAGTATGTGAGCTATTTGCAGTTAAGATAAATGTTGGTATTTAACTATATGTCGTATGCAGCAACTTCTCTCCCCTTTGCCTGATTGTATATTTATAGGCACAACTTGTGAAGCGAATATAAATGAATGTCACTCTTCCCCATGTCTTCATAATGCGTCATGTGTAGACATTATTGGTAGCTACAAATGCATCTGTCTGGCTGGCTTTACTGGTGAGTATTCATAGTAAACCTTGTTTTCCACAGGAGGTAGTTCACAAACCATCCATTAAGACATCATTGACTAATTTGCTTGTGTTTCCTTCTCATTTCTCTTTATCTGCCCTGGCCTAATGTTTCATTTGCATTCCAACAAACTGGAACACAGACTCCATCTGTAAACTAAATAGCACAAGATAAATTAGTCTACATTTAGAAAGGCCTTCAAAGCTTCTACACACAGGGAAGATTAGTTACCATTTAGCAACTCAGAAATAAGTTGTTATGTATCTGTGATGATAAGAATTAAATGGATGCTGACATTAGTATGTATGGCTCTTTATTTGTCCGATTTATGCTAGTTTCTCCTCACAAGTTCCTTGAGATTCTTGTGGTGCAAATGAACTAGAAATTGACACCTGATTGTCTTACTAAGTGTTCAAATCTTTTGTCCTTTCAAAGGTGCAAGATGTGAAACAGATATAGATGAGTGTGCTTCACTTCCCTGCAAGAATGGAGCCACCTGCATTGACCAACCCGGTAATTACTTCTGCCAATGTGTAGCTCCGTTTAAAGGTAATGAACACCAAGGGAGAGGGGAAAGCAAACATAATTAACTTCAGAAAGCATTTCTGTCAATTGTCTGAACTCATTTCAGTCTTTCTACAGCATTATTAGTCCTTCATTTTCTCAAGTAAAGCTTTTAAATTGACCAGCCAATTATGCTTTAGGCTGCAAGTAATATGAAGTAAACTTTGTTTATACATCTATTAGGAGTGTTTATTTATTAATCAAAATGGATACTTTAAAATTGGTTTGTTAATGGAATACGATTATTTACAAAATGAGAGGCATATGCCCATTAAGCTGCCATCACAAAGATCAGTTGCTTTTCTACACTTTTTCTTTTCTCCAATTTGATTGGTCATGGGATTGTCTTAATTATTTTTTCATTCTCAGAAAACAGTTTATAGTTATCTTGGAATCCATAAATTGTATGTGATTATTTCTGTTGATGCTTTTAAAGGAAATACACTTAAAATGCAAGCTTTACTGTGACGTTTTTCATAGAAATTTTGGGGAGTTAATTTTAAACACTGTTAAAATAATTTAAAAAATAAATTGTGCAGTGTTCTAGAGCAAAACTAGTTCAAATTTTAATCTCAATTAAAGGCCCCTGTTTATTTATAAATTAAATATAAACACATTTTTCCTCCTGCAGTGGAATATAATGACACATACTTAGGATTCCAGAATAATCATTACAAGGCAATTTTCTTGGTATGTTGAGACAGCAGGACTTTTTCCCTTTAGGGAAGATGGTTGCATGAAATTCATCATTCATGAGAAAAGAGTGAGCTCTAATGTTTGTTCTTATTATTTTAGTTAATGGTCAAAATTTAGTTTGTCATTGTTATTAGTTTTAATTTATGTTCTGCCGAATAAAATCTATTATAATAACAAATAAGTGAATACCGCAGTATCAGAATTTCCTCTGCTCAGAAAGATGTGAAATAATTTTCCGTTTCTTAAGTACTGGCTTCACAAGAATCCAGCTTTTCAGAAGACTTTGGTACCCATTTAGATATTTAAGTAAGTGATTAAAATTTCAGAAAGTCAACATTTCTGTAGTAATCCTTCAAGAAGCTAACAGTGTCTAATACTCTCCATGGAAAAGTTAAACCCTGCTGGCAGGATTCACAAATGGTAACTGAGATCCTCAGAAAACATAATATTCTTGACACAGGATGTCTATAATCTATAGGATTCTTGTTTAAACAAAAGATTTTTTTGAAACTGTTTAATTCTTTACAGGTTTACTTGGCACCTTTCAACATCAAATTCTTATACTGGTGTTACCTAGATTTATGATGGTATAAATAAAAGCAGAATTAATTTCAAATGGAAACTCTACCTCAGTCTCATGCCATCTGTTTATTTAGTATTAGACTGCTGTAAATGTAGTCTTTAACAGCTTCACAGTAAGCCAAAGTAATTAGTACTTAAACAATGTTTTTTAATTGTGTGGAAATATTCAGGTTACTGTAATGAATGCCTTTGTGTGCACTAATTACAGATTACAGAATTACTTTATTAAGAAAGTAAATACATCTTATAAATGGTAGAAGTTATATAGGAATATACTTTAAAAAATATTTTCACAGATTTTCTTGTTTCTTTTGTTATTCTCAGTGGAAAAGCATAAATGTCATACTTGGAACATCCTTTACTTGGAAAGCAATATGAAGTTGCATTTTCACAATACATTGTAATGGTTTGATTCTCCCGTCCCAAAATCTGACCTGAAGCACTATTAGGAATATATAATATACCAGTTGATTAGGATGTGTACAGCAGACCTCTGCTATACAGAATGCAGAGTTGAGGAATTCACAGAATGATTTGGACATTCAGGTGAATTCATACAAAAGGTAGCCTGGCAGATTAAGCTAGAAATTTATTCTATCTATAGAAAATTGTTTGTATACATCTATCTATCTTTCTTCTTTCCTGACTTCCTTGACTATTCTCATTTGTTTCTTTTGACAAAGAGAGGGTGCAAGATTATGATCAGATTTTTCCCTTTTCCTTTTTCTTCCCCTTTATTTCCTCTTCTTTTTAAAAAGAAAACAGAAGAATCTTCATTTTTGCTTTCTTTACATTTCACTTCTTTTGAGAGCACGTATAGCTACTCCTCATTTTTATGTGCTGCAAACTTTTTGATATCCTGAATATATACTTTTATATTTTAACAAACTTTTACATTAGTCCCATATCAATATGAAAAGTCATCAGAAATTTTATTAAAATAATATTCTATATGCATGGTTTTTGTATTTTTCTTGTGTGTTTTCTTTGCTTTCTTTTGAAGCATGGATTTGTCTCTTTGACAAAATGCTCTAACTCATCCTATTGGCTCCCATAGAACACTGGAAGACATCCAAAGATTTAAGAACAATGATGCTTGAGCAGTGGTATATGTCTGTATTTTTCTTCAAATGTCTGACAGTCCAGTCTGTGCAAATTAACTTTACAAGCCTGACCTGTGGATGATGTTTTAGTTTTCCTGTGGGCACAAACCTTTTTAGAAAATCCAGTTTCCATGGTGAAGTCCATGCATGGAGAGCACTGAAGAAATATGTCTTCTGATGCTGTTGCTGAAACCCTAACAGTGACAAAACTAATCTATTCCTCTCCGTTCATGTTCCCCTGACAGAGGATTTCCCCAGCGATAGCGTAGATCACTGAACTTTCTATATATTCTAGTATTTCATTGGAATTATTGCCACTGAAATTGCTACCTTTGACTTTTCCCAAATGTTCAGCTCAACAGCAGTCAATTTATGCATAATTCAAAAGAAAACTGAAGAAACTTATAAGACTTCCAGATACAAAATAACATCCTTGTCAACTTCTAATAGTCTTCTAGTTACTAAATATGATAATTGAAGTCTTTTCATCTTATTTCAGCCAGGTTCCTTGTCCTGTGGAGGAGAAAATTGAATTTCTGTTTTCCAAAATCATAGAGCTTTACGTGTAGTTGTGATAAGGAATAAATAATGAACTTCAAAGTCCATATACTTTCACATCATAACTCTTTTGACCTTGATTTGGAGGAAGCTCAAGATTTGATTAAAGAAAAAAAATCTATACCAGATTATATTATTACTGAAGAGATTCCTGTGTAAACCCACATAGAAATCCTAGAAGTAACTGAGCCTCACTAAGCATGCATTGTAACAAAGGTCAAATGGAGAAAAAATAATAGCATTAGATTTATATAATATGCTTTTTGCTATTTATAATACAGTTATCTATGCCACAAATACTGTATGTGTTTGTGAATATGTCCTAATTACCCCAATATGTCAGTCCGCTTTTTAAACTCCAGTTCTCTGTTTCTGTCTGTTTTCACTAGTGTTCTGTCACGGACTTGTATAGTACAAATTACTATTGCACCTCAGACTTAAATGCTGAAATGCTATTTACCATGCTGCCACTTGCACATACTGTAGTACAATGTTCTTTTCATACAGGAATGTAAAATAAGTATACAAGAATGTATAATAAGAAAGTATAATGTTCTTTTCATACATACCTAAGTACATACCATATCTGGTATAGCTGCTTCTGCTTGGTTCTAATGTATTAGTCCCTTCAAATATGCTACTATTTTAGAAATGTCTCCCTCTTCCACCCTTTTTCTATTATATCTGAGGTAGAACACTGATAGTCATGTATATTGGACATTTTTTTATCAGAGGACATTCTGAAGTTAAGTTATTCAGAAACAGAGAAAGGGGATCAGTTGGTTTTCTGTTGCATTCCCTACTGGAAAAGTAACTATTGGAACTGGTAGCATTAAGGAACATAAACTTGATTTGGGTGCAGGACAAATAAAAGATTTTTAATATTAGCAATAGGAGACAAACAGCTCAGAGGTATATTCAGTTCTGGCCAATACATTATCACTGATAGTCTCTGGCAGTAATTTATCTACTGCAGTGTTAAGCAGGCCCCTCAGCCCTCTTATGAGCTTGATTCCATTACAGTATGCTGTCTGGGGAGTTATTATAATAACTTTTCTATTATTATATTGATTTTACAATTGTCGCCTTTCTATATGGAATCACAGTTATTACAGAATCGATATTAAGTGCTTCAGAAGAGAGCAGAGTGTGTACAAAACATATTGTGAGACTGTATCTCATTTATGGGTCCTAAGAGTTTCACAGAAGGTAAAATGAAAGCTTCCATGTTGCTATCAGGAAATACCGTCTTGTTACATTAAAAATTCACACACAATTCAACAACAGTGCAATTAGTAAATTTTATAGTCCCCATTGTTATATTTTATCTACATATGAAATAAATATGTATCTATATTTTATCTTTAGTTATATCCACGCTGTTCCTTCCATATGGAAGCATGTTAAATGCAGACCTGAAAGTATACATTTACAGAGAATAATAGGAAACAAAAGTTGATAATCATATTTTGAAATCAACATGCCCTTTAATTTTCGATGAAAGAGAGAAAAACTCCTCATTCTTTTACACTATGGAGTAAAAAAAAATTTTTCCAAACTTCAAACGTAATGTATTTTTCAGTCCCTTGCTGGTCTCCATTATAATTTAGCAAAGTACATTTTTTGTCTTAAGATATTTATTTTGTTATAAGGCTGAAACATGCCCATTATATTCTTCCATCCGTGCCAGCAACATCAGAACTGTCTTTTTGGATTGCTACAGTTTTATTTGCTTTCCTTAGTTTTAAGTCTTCATATAACTTACAGCTGGAGGAGCACATCAGTTTACAGATTTTATCTGGCTCTCGCTCAGTTGTACGAAGGGAAGAGGAGGAATGCCTGCAGTTCATTCCATTGTTCAAAGATATCTTAGCAGAAGAGGTGCTCAAACGCTCCACTGATAAACACCAGTTTACTGTTTCTTAGTAAAAGTGGTCCACTACATGATAGATGAGACTTTCTTACAGTTTTGAGTTGTTCTAGTATTACATATCTACTTTCAAGCATCTCTAGGTGCTTCACCCCAGTCTTGAGCTGTTTCACCCG